AAACCTCAGAAAATTAGTCTTACAATCACCTATCAGAGCAACAAGAGGGTATGTGAAGCTAGTTTGAGAAGCAACAGGAAAATGGCAAACAAAAAAGATGTGCACCTAAAGCTGTTTAAGTTAGACTTATCTATTCTCTACATCAGTTTTTAAATTACTGAATAATTAAATGCATCTGTTACTGTTTTCATAGTGGTGAAGGGACAGAGGAAGTGCTGTGGTACCTCTTGCTGTATACTGATTTTTAAAAGAGACTACTGGAGAAAATTAGAATTCATATACATACAAGAAGATTTATTCTATATAGCATACAAAATGTGAGAACTTCAGGTAAAGCAAGCTTTCTCTAAGGGTCTTTCCAAGCCAATCTCTGATCTTCTTAAAAAGAAAAACAACAGAAGAAAATGTAATTTTACTAGTTTTGTATGGTCAGCAATATGGCTACAGTAAATATTTACTCAAAGCTTTATAAATACTATTCTATCTTACATGGTTAATGAATCCTTAATTTTGCTGTCCACAATTTCCTTATACAGAGCAGCTGACATCACTTCTTCCATTGGACACATGATGCCATACTCTTCACAGCCGTTCTCTTGGACCAGAGGATCCATTTTATGAGGATCAAACATTATATTATTTGGCGTCACTAGCAGCACACCATTGACTGTACCCTAAAATGAGACGGAAAACAAGCGGTAAATTTTCTCCTTCATATTTCAGCTTATGCTCCATTTTTTTGTAAGAAAAAAAGTGTTTTCTAATTTGTTTTTAAAGCATCTTCATATTTATGCTCATTTAAACAACTTCATACAGTTTCTTGTGTTGTGCAGTCACCTAGACACATAACTGTTTTCCTGGGGAAGCAGATTAATGCCACCCACTTTCCAAGAAAACAGTTTTATTCCTTACAACTACTTAATAGCTAGGTTGAGTAAAAAAAGAGAAACCTCTGCATCCTAAACAATATGCTAGGCAGCTTCTCTGAGGTGAAGATACAGCGTTCCCAGCTAACCACGCGGCTTATTGCTAGTTTTGCAAGAAACTTCAAGAATTGTCTAAAACCTGACTCTTCACACTCCTCACTTTGTACTATTTAATTAAAGAACAAAAAAAGAAAAATCTTTGAAAACTGCCATTTATCTTCATTTTCTTTACACAAAAGCAAGAGTAGTACCTGATACAAGTCATTCTAACTTAATGGACCCATTGACTGGGTGGACAAATACATTTATGGAATGAAACTAGATTAAAAATATTAAAGATTTTTAAAGATGCAGCTTTGAATGGATTTAATCACAATCATACTGCTGCAGTACATGAATAAAAGTAGATCTTAAACTTGTAGTATGAAAAAAATTAAAGTTGATAAGCATGCTATGAGCTATAGGGTTCTTACACAATACAGGTACAAATCTAATTCACAGTATGTTGTTTGGTTTCTGGGTGGTTTTTTTTTGTTTGTTGGTGTTTTGTTTTTTTTTTTTTTTTTTAAAGAGTTAGAAATACATGAAACCAGCTGCCTGCTAAGGAAATTCATTAAACTATTAGAACAGTAGAGTTTAAGCTAAAACTATAGGAGGAAATGTAGCTTTGAGCAGGATGATAGCGATTCTTCAGTTATAGATCTTGAATCCTAAGGACTTCACAAATTTAGAAAGACATTCAAAACATCTGTGCAAGAATCACAGGAGAGTTGCTTCAGGTGCTGATGAAGCTCATCAGGAATTCAATAAATATCCCATCCACTGATAAACTGTTCACAGTGATTACAAACATTGTGTATTAGAGGATCATTTGTTTTCAGTTTTAAGACAACATACCAGCACAGCATGAATTACAACTACACTCCTTCCCACCTCCCGAAATTTGTTCCCAGCACAGTGATGACAGATGACCTTCACACCAGAAAAATAAAGATACCATATAGTATGTGGAAAACTACAAGTCACACAAAACAAACCAAAGACAGTGTTAAAGCCTACAGCAGTGACCAATGGTATCACTATTATGGAAAAATAAAAACAGTCTCAAAAGCAGCTGAAGCTTCTGTACTTTAGTCCTCTTCGTTGTTCAGTGCCTAGTCAGGTTTTGTATGTGCCTTTTAGAGTACGAAGCACAGGCTAAAGACTTCGAAGACAGCAGAATATATTAACATAATTCTAAGGTGTTTAAGATACTGAAACAAAACTGTCGCTGGTATTTCTTCCCCAGCACTGTATTGTGGAAATAGGCTTTAAAGGTGAAAAAAGGAACTCCAAGAGGATTCCTGTCAACAGAAGTTTACATTTGGTTATATCCACTGCAGTCTAGAAAGCAATTTTAACATGACTGCAAAAGTCAGTGAACGTACCCAGAAGCACAATTGCTTCCATTTAAATACTACCTCCATAAATTCAGCACTTCATGCAAAAAGCAGTACCATTTCTGAACCTGAGCTCTCTCAATGACCACACATGAATGTGAAATTTTATTCATATTCTCCAGATCTGACCCAGAAAAGGCAAGGCCATAGCATCAATGGCAGTTGGACTAGATGAGCCTTGTAGGTCCCTTCCAACTGAAATATTCTACTCTTCCTTTGCCTTTATGTTGCATGCGACTCTTCAGAACAGGAGAGACGCTTCTGGCTGGAAAGAAAAGAGGTAAAGTTCTATGTTTGCTCTAGCTCAAGGATTTAAATGTTTAACATCAGCTTCTAAAATGATGTATTACTCACTAGAAGCAATCAGTAATCAAGTTCACTAGAGAACTCTTCATTTCAGACTAAGATGTTGTCTTCACTTGTTTGCTATTTCACAAACAAATGACCCTTCCTTGATAAATTAAATACACAGGAAATGCTAAAGCTTTTGAGGCTGCAGAGGGCTTCTGGCAATAAAAGTAGATGACATTATTCTATCACGGGGTGAGCTGTCACAACTGACATAGCACTCATTTCAACGAGGTCCCTAGTTTTATTAACCAAACACAAAACCCGATGCTTTATCTGTGCTCTCAAAAGCAAGTTAAAAGACTGCTTCAGCTGGCAGTCCAGGTCAAAAAAATGGTTAAAGAACATTTCATTGCAAAATAAGTTAAAAGTCTCGTAAGTCACAGCATTAGACTAACATGTATGAGGAACCAGCTGCGCATCTTCTTGCTCATGACAGTTACCTTGCTTCAGCTTCAGTTTTAGCAGTTCAGAAACCACTAACTTACCCCACCCAAAACCCACAGGCCAGGCTTGTCAATATCTTAAAGAAATGTGATCATATCTAGGACGAAAGTCTGTTTCTGGGGCAAGTCTGAATGTGTTTAAAAAAATCGTACAGTACCTTGCAGTGTTTAGACTCAGCCACTGAGGAACAGCAGATACAACCTTTCTGCAGGCAAACGTTGAGCCAAAGAAGTGCGCAAGACTACTGACTATATAAGAACAAGTTTAAGAGACCTTCTGTTGTAAGTGAAAGCTTCCTAGAACAGTCTGGCAGCAACCTGCCTGATGCCAGGAAAACCCCAAACCTACATCAGGCAGTCATCCTTGACACGTATAAAAGATTCTAAAGCCTACCTCTGCAGCCTCACTCAAAGACAAAAAGCTTGCTTATCTTGGTCTTAGAAGAAAGCCTCAACACCAACAGGTAAATACCCAGCATAAAAATTCATCTGAAAGTGTAATTTCATTTAAACTTTATTACACTGTTAGAGAAATTAAGAATTCAACCTTTGGAACTACCAGGCTTTTATGTGTCCTTGACAAGGACAACTGATCCAACACTTCACTTGCAATGACTATAACCAGTTGAAAGATTATATGAGTATCTTGAAAGCACTGGCTACATAGCTCCTCAACAACAGACAACCTATTTCATTGTTATCTATTTAAAAGATGAAAGGAGGCAGAACAATGCAACATTTCTGTCTCACAAGTTATTTGGTACGGCCCACAGTTACTACAGGAACACTTCAGGGTACTTCTCTAGAGAAGAATTGCTGCCTCAAATTTACATGCTAGAAATGAGATCCTTAATAATACACTAAACATCATTAATATTTCTGTTATTTTTTATTGTTATTACCAAAGATCACTGAACCTTAACCTAGGTAGCTAGGTAAAGCTCAAGTAACACCCAGATAAAGAAATGCTTTGGTCCCAAATTTTAACTATTCTTTTCAGACATGTCAGTGATTCTGCCACCTTCTCCAACAATTTTTTGTTACTTTGAAGACAAATAGACTCTGTCTTTACTATTTTCTAACTCATTTGCAGGAGAACAGTTTCCTTAAAAACCTGTGGAACACCTGTTACTCAACACATGGAGTTTCTAGCACAGACAGAAATCAAGTCCTATTGATTCTGTGAGAAAAAAAAGGCTAACTTCAGAACAAAGCACGTAAGTGGGAGCATGCGTGCACCTAGTCAACCACTGGTCAGGAACTGCTCGTTGCATTCTGCTAGTCTTCTCTGAAAGATGGTGTTTTGGTTTCGGCTGCCGCCGGCAACAAAAGCGCCAC